TAACTTTTCTAGATTTTTAGTTATTTCAGAAATACTTCAGCGCTATCCAAATTCGTCGACTGTTGCAAAAATTGGGTTTTCTCCCAAATCGATCACTCTTTTTCAATTTTAAAAAAAAAAAAAAAAAAATCCATGAAAGAAGCACTTAAAGGAAGATTTTGATATAAAAATTAGGTGAAGGAGAATTTTCTTCATTTTTCTATAATTTTTGCAAATGGGCTGTAAATACTGGTTCTTTGAGTACAAAGTTTGAAATAAGAGATAAAGTAAGAAAATGGGCTAACCATGCATAATTTTTCACTTCTATTGTGATTAATATCTTCTTCCAGAAGATAGCTTGAATGATCAAAAACCAGTGTGAAATCTAGAAAAATCACAACACAAATCGCAACTCGCAAGAAATCTGGAATCCCAAACAGAAATCACGAATATGCCAAATAGAACATGCAAAATACACGCAATATATGTGGATATATTCTAACAGATATATGATAACCAACTAGAAGGGTAAAACAGTAAAAAAAAAATGATTATAAAATAAAAAATAGGACCTGCTGGAATAAAAGTCTCAATTGATCGGATTAAAAAGAATATAAGAAAAAAGGTTAGACTAATTGATATGAGTGTCTAGAGCAAGATTTTCCAGTAAATTCCCCTTCTACTTTTTTCAATTAATGTTTATTTATTTTTATTTGTTAACAACCTCTAAAGTTTAAAAAAAACAAAATAGATTTTAATTGAAAAAATAAAATAAGACCCAAAATAAATAAACAAAGTTTGATCCAACAAGAGAATTGAAATCCTGATAATTTAGATGCACACCCATGAACCAGACCAATTATACATATTTAAAATTCATATTAACCCACTTAAATTAATAAATAAGTTTAAATGGGTTGCTTATTGTCAACCCAATTATAATTGGGTTTACATGAATTGGTTACTCATTTAAGTCTGTCCAAATTCTATCACTAATTCTAAAAAATTTTAAATAATTTTTTTAAGAAAAATTGAAAATTTAGAAAAATTAAAAAATAAAAAATATTTTTTGTAAAAAATTATTAAAAAAAAAATCGGAAAAAATAAAAAAGGGGAAAATTCAAAAAAAAATAAATAATAATAAATAAAATATATATTTTTCAAAAAATAAAATAATTAAAATTTTAAAAGAAAATAAAAAATAAAAAATATATATTTTTAAAAAAACAAAAAAAAAATTATTTTTCAAAGAGAGAGAGAAGAAAGTAAATGGCTTGGTTGGGTTTATTTGTTCAACGTGTATCCAATTTAACCTAACACGTTTAAGTCCATTTATTAAATGAGTGGGTTTGGGTTGAATTACTTTAAATGTATAGCTATTTTGATCAGTCCATGTAAACCCAATTACTCGAGCTCAAACTCAATAAAAATTTAACAAACCGAGTTTGGGCTTGACTCGAATTTGAGTGTGTTCACAAGCTTTAATGAGCTAAATAAATTATAAATTCATACTTATGTATAAGACTAAAATTACAATTGAAACTTTGATTATGCAATATATATAAACATACTAAAAGAAAAGTTTATATCTTACCAAAATAATAATTTCTATCACCACTATTATATAAATGCATTATAGTTATTATTTACTGTAAATAAATTTAGCTATTATTTATATTATTTAAATATATAAATAACATATTTATCCTATTTTTTATACATATATTTTATATTATTTAATATATAAATAATATATTTATTTTATTATTTAAATAAATGTTAAATAAGTTGAGCTAACAAGCCGAGTTTTAATATATTTGAACTTGTTTATTCTAACTCGAATTCAAGTTCAAACTCAATAAAAATTTAACAAATCGAGTTTAAATGAGCTTTTACCAAACCAAACTCAAACTAATTTACGAACAGCCCTATTCATTTACAAAAGACTAATTCCACATTCGAAAGAAGTCATACACATGAACAATTCTTCAAAGAACAAATCTATGTCAAGAAACCAACTCTTATACCAAGTGGTGATTTTTTTTTTATTAGTAGATAAGACAGTAATTATAATCTTAAGAAATATTTATATAATCGAATAGAGTACTAGTTCACAATAATTAAAATGTCTAAAAACCAATAACTAAAACGGAAAATGCGGGGCACCCCCAGTACGGGGCGACCCCCAGTGACCCCAGCCCACGTGGCTGTGGGTGATTGGTCAGAAAGGAAAAAAAAAAAAAAAAAAAAGAAAACTGGCGAATGGCGTTTCGCCACGTCACTGGGGGTCGACCCCCAGTGGGAGTCTGTAGCAGGATTGTAACTAAAACCCACCAAACCCAAACCCGACAACTACATACAATCAACCTCCATAATGAAGGAGAAATAAACTACCGCACTACTAAGGATATCAAATTCTTCTCCATAGAAGTTGAACTCGAAACCTCATACCACAAAAAGTGTTACACAACCATTAGCCCAAATACCTTGATTGCCAAGTTGTGATAAAGACCCACAAAAACTTATTAAAGTATTCAATATTTCTGTGTCTAAATAGGAAAAACATTAAATATTTTTAGAATATTATATTACGTGACATGAGAAAACACAGCATGCCCTAGGTACAATTATGCGAATGGCTTCCCTCCTCACTGGAGGGTACTGTTGTTCTAATGGGATCTACCATGTGTCCCATTTCGATAATTTAAACCGTTCAATATATAGAACTCATCGAGTACTATATGCCTGTAAAAAACACGTTGATTGGATATCTATAACTATGTGATCAAATCATATTTTTGTAAGCTGTTTATTTTTTACCATTCATTTATTTTCATACAAAACTGATTTGATCATATAGCTATCGATATCCGATCAACATGCTGCTTTACATACATATGATACTCGACGAGTTCTACACATTTAACGGTTCGGGTTATCGAAACGAGACCCACGGTGAATCCTCACAGGCCCAACAGTACCATTCAATTCGCAATTGGACTGGAGGAAAGCTATTCCCTTAAATTGGGAATATTGTTTCATAACTACCTAATAAAGATAGTTAGGATGTTCCTGCCATAAATTTTCTGCTATGATTTTTTAGAATTCATGTATGCAATTTCATATTGTGCTTGGAAACCAATAAATATAATTACATGTATAATAGATAGCCATTAATGTGTTAAAAAGACTTTCATTAATATAATAAGAGCATTGATATTAATCCCTACTTTTCTTCTTAGGATCCCAACCTCATTCATTTTGTTTTTAATTCCAATTTTGTCCCAATCTAAAATTTCACTTTTACCCTCACTCCTAATCTTCTAAACCTAATTTTCCAAACTCTAGCCTAGCCTTAATCACCTCCGGCAATACCACCATCTCCGACCACCTCTCACTACTATAACCACCACCATCTTTAACCAACCCTTATCACTACAACCTCTACCATCTCTAACCACTCCTCACCGTCACAACTACCGCTCCCTCCGTCGCAATCAGCCATCACCTCTACCGACAAGCACCCCCATCCCCTATTGCAGATCTAAATCAGAGAAGAGAGATCAACCCATTCAACACTGTTTTATCGAACTAAAAGGATTTGTTCAACACTGTGTTTCTGAACATTTAGGATTCGTTAAACATTGTATTGTCGAACATTTAAGATTTGTTTAGCACTGTGTTGCTAAACCCACTCTACCATCGTGAACTCTCTATCCATTGTGAGAGAGAACGAGCGAGCGAGCGAGAGAGAGAGAGAGAGAGAGATGAAAATCTAAGGTTTTCAAAAGAAGATGAAGAAGAAAAGAGAAAAGAGGGAGAAAGAATGCAAGAAATCACTCGCCATAAGGTTTTAATGGTGGCCATTGTTGATGGGTCTTTTCTTTTGCTCTTTTTCTCACCTATACTTGATTTGAATGCAAGAAAACAATGAAAACAAATAGAGAATCTAGATTCGAGAGAGAAGCGGAAGGGGTTTGGGTTTGGGTTTGGGCGTATAATTGGTATTAACGTGGAGGTTTAAAGAAAAAATGTAAGAATTTCATTTTGCTGAGTGGGGATTTAAAGAAGTAGGTGGGCCAAAGTAATTAGGTGAGAGTAAATATTAGTCCTCATATAATAAATTATAAGGTAAATTATAAATAAACTTCTTAAAATTTATCTAAAATGTAAATTCCCCATTGTCGTTTTACAAATTACATTCGGTTCCTTTAAATTTTTAATCGCATAACAAATAATTTTTATTATTAATAGATTAATAAATCAATTAATAATTTTTAATGATGTCAAAAATTTACTATATTTCAATTAACAATTCTAGTAATTTTATTATTGTATAAAAAAGTAATTAAGAAATTTATTTTTTTGTTAATCCTGTTAGATAAAAAATTTCGACAACAAATATTTATAATTTTTAAATCTACAAAGAGGAATTTATATTTTAAACAAATCTCAATGATGAATTTGTAATTTACCAGAAATTACATAAAAAGAGCAGATTATTTCCTAATTGATTCGTTGTTTACACTGCTTAAAAAAAAAAAAAAGCTTAATAAAAATAAAAATAAAAATAAAAATAAATAAAAAGAAAAGAAAAGAAAAGAAAGCGAAAAATTCTAAATTAAATTGATAGAATTCTATCTAAGATTGACTAAAAAGACAATTAATTAACCATAATATCAATGGAAAAAGGATATGTTACAAAACTTAAATACAAAAACTAAGGAATAATTTCGGATGATCTAAATAAGTGTATTTTTTAATTTTTTATGAAATATAAGTTTGGTATGAATTAGATTTGAAGTGATATGAAAGAAAGATGATGTGACTTAAATAAAATGATGACTTAAATAGAATAGTGATTTTTTAACTTTTTGACTTTTTTAAATTATAACAAACAAAGCCTAAATTATAGTAACAATTATGTACCTTAAAAAACAAGAAACGAAAAAAATATTAAATCTTTTCTTTTTTCCTTCCTAAGCATCTTGGTGTGTGAAAATGGGTAGTCAGATTCAATATAAACTAACCCCAAAATGCTTTTCTTTCATATAATTTTTTTTTAAACATCAACTGTGATAACAATATCATGTGTCTTCTTTTCCTACAACGAACCAGCACCAAGCCCATCACAATGTAAATTGAAGTTCACAAAAACCACATATAACTCCATGTTATTTTTTTTGGCCCACATACAAAACAGACGCAAAAGAAGACATCATCTTGTAACATAGTAACCTCAGCATACAAAAAAAGGGCTTCAGACTACTACTAGTACTACTAATACAGATCAAGATGAAGATGAAGATCAAGAGAGGGAAGGAGGCTCTTCCACCTTTGCAGTCTGCTGCCGCTGCTGATCAGAGGACACCGCTGGACTAATATTATTATTACTGCACATCTTATCTTTAGATGATGGTGCAATCCTTGCCCGCTTTTTTTCTGGTCGATTTATATGTTCAGAAGGAGGCGCTTCAGACAACGGAGTAGAAAGCCCTGGCCCACCAAGCCGCAAATCTGTATTCTCGTCTGGGCCTGCCCATGCTAGCGGATTTACTGCCAACCAAATATATGAAACACACTATGTCATTAATTAATCAAACAGAACAAAAACTTAGAACTACAATTAATTTGGAGGAGTTTTCACAAGCAGCCTAGGGATGGATATATATGATTGAAAATTCTCCAATAAAAAAGGGAATATATTCTTTATATATATATATATATATTAGGCGTTTACGTACCATCAGAAGATTCAAGAAGACCAGCCATCCCCACATTAGTGCCACCACATGGAGCTGCTATCAAACGAACAGGAGCAGGACGCTTCCTCACGTAATTCTCTTGCAAAGGTCTTGGGATTTGAAATGAAAATTGTGACATAGTCACCCCTGCCTCCATGTACTCTGGATGTTCCAGCAAGTACCTGAAGTTAATCACAAGTTATCTATCAAGAGAGAAACAAGGACATCTAAGCTTTCGACGTGAAATGCTTTCCTCAAATATATTTTACACATTTTCTATTGTTTGGTTGAACAAAAAGTAGAACATTCTTTAAAGAAAATATTTTTCGTCATAGTTCGACGTGAAATGTTTTTTCTCAAATATATTTTACGCATTTTCTATTGTTTGGTTGAACAAAAAGTAAGTACAACATTCTTTAAAGAAAATAGTTTTCGGCATAGTCTCCAAAATGACTTGTTATTAAAAATTCTGTGACTCAATTGTTCAATTGTTAGGAAGTTAACTTCCAGCTTGGCTCCTTCAGCACATTGATTTTTTTTGAGGTGAAGGGTGGCTCTACATTGGCTTTTACCCAACGCATACGATAGAATGTTTTGTTTCAAGTAACAACCAAACACCGGAAAATACAAAGAAAAATATTTTTCTGTGGAAAATCAATTTACATAAAAAATATTTTCAGGTGTAAAATATTTTACGTCGTAACAAATGGAACCCTAAAGTAGACTACCCACCAATAATTTGTTTACACATTATCTTCGTATTAAACTAATATTACTTGCAAAAAAGAAAAAAGAAAAAAGATATGCAATACCAGAATGATCAAGCAACATACCTTTGAACCTCAACCATAGAGCGAAGTCTCTTGCCTGGTGGTGCAACATAATACCTGAAACCATCAAAGAAAAAATTCACAATGTATGGTATTTGTCAGTGAATCAAAATACCTAATATGACCTTTGCAGCTTTTAGAAGGTGCATGGGACAAAGCTAACTAAGAGAAATTCTTCTAATAACCCTCTATTTTATAAGTTTTTCTACAATGGATATCAAAATAGATCAATAATTAAGCACAGATTCAAGTTTAGACAAGACAGGAGTGGCGAAGTGTGTTCAAAGGAGTCAAATAGACAAAAAATAAAATAAAAAAACATTTCAACTTGATCCCATTTTAGAAGTTCCCCGTACGGTAGAACTCTTTCATCCTCTGATCCTTTTAAAAGGTCAACAAATTTTTCAAAAGAAGAGAAAAAAGTAAACTGAGAACCGCAAAAGAGCTATGTGGTGGAATGTTCCACTTTTTTTTTCCCAGAACTCCTCTTTATTTCATTAGTATTGTATTCATATAATGTATATGATATATGAAGAGTAAAAAGTCAAACAGAGAACTGCAAAAGAGCTATTGAGGTGGAATGTCCCACCTTTTTTTTCCCCCCAGAACTCTTTATTTCATGAGTGTATCCCTATAATATATATGTTATATGACTGGCAACTATTTACATATTATGTAATAGTATAATAAATAAAAAAATTAAAAAAATACAAGATGTAAAACGTAATTTTTCAAATATAAAAAAACATGAAGGTAGATTTTTTATTTATATAAATTGTTAACCAATAAAATGCCTTGCAATGATGGTCTATCTAATCAATTATACACCAAGATCCCAATTATATATCTTATAATCTATACGAAAAAATTGAAATAAGTATATTAAGAAATGATTGATTTGTTGATTTTCTTCTTATTAGATTTTTACAATGCTTATGCAAGAATTATCTTCTACCAAAAGCTAACAATTTTCTTTTTTTGCCAAACTTATTTTGGTCCCCTCCAAACAAAATTTCTACCTGCATCTCTAAATTGAAGCTAAATTAAGCATACACCTGATGTACCCGTACATCATATAGGCTGGACACAAGTTGTCATAATTTTATACAAGTCAATATTAACCCACTAAGACTAAGCATTAAAATGGATGAAATCCTATCCAATAACAGGACACATTTGGAAGTATCCGACTAGTGTTAGTGCCTGAGATGGACACACCACCTTCTTAGTAGTATTTGCACTTTTTCTACTACCAAGCTATATGAAAAAAGCTAAATTACCATAGTGCATCTTTTCTCATCTTTTTCCCCAGGAGGGCTGCATAAAGGGCCCTCCGTCTCTCTCTAATAGATATCTCCTAAATGAATTATGCACTTGATGTAGAAGCACCACACCTCCATGCCAAGTGTTTTTAACCATTACCAGCCAATACATGATAAACCTCAAATATACCAGTCAGTAGCTAGCCATGTAGTTTCCTGATTTGTGAAGGAAATATTGGTTTACTTGTGGAGATTGGTGACTTCCACATCTGATAAGCACTCCGTAGAAGAATAAAAAGAAGTTCTTCATCACCTTTTTAAAATGTTACCAGACAAAATGAAAACCCTAAAACTAAAGAAACAAGTTGAGCAGAGGGCTACTCTATGCATGTGGGATTCCTTGACATGAAATAAATAGAGAGACAAATGGAAGAGGATACATACACATCTGCAAACTTGGTGCTTCCTTCACCTCTGATCCGTAGCAGCCGCTGCCACCCAGGAGGAGGTTGGGCAATATTAGGCTTATCAATTGCCCAGAGCCTGCTGCCATCTTGACAAATGTCAGGCGGATCTTCACATGATATTTCAGGCCGCCACTCACGAGCTGTTTCACAGAAAAAAGGCTGCTCTAAAATGTGTTCGCGTATTTCCTCATACTTTTCCTTCGTAGGTATGAGTCTCCATTTAAAACAGTTGGCACACTGGACGGTGAAAGCCCCCACAGATGGCAACACTCTGGAAGATGTTCTTGGGAAACGCGGACGTTGGTACTCGGCATCAGGGACAACTTCAATTTCACCAGTACCAGTAGCAGCAGGGTCATAAACCACCAATTGCTTCTGAGCATCTTCACCAGACTGATTGTCATCATCATCTGCGCTATGTTCCTCGTCCTCTTCCTCTTCCGACCAAACATCTATGGGTTTCTGAATAGTGTTATCCAGTTGATCTGAGAAAGTAGAACTGTTGAAGCCATTTTCTGCCCTTTTCACCCTTAGGGTAATTTTTGTAGGCCGTGACTGCATCTCAATAGATCTCAACCACCTGGTGTAACAACTAATGAAAAATGCTCATGTGATTTAACTCAAAAGGCCTTCTAAAGTTTTCAAATATATATATATATATATATGTAAAAGTATCTACTTGATTAGCAAATTTCAAATGGCATTTATTCAAACTTGTAAAAGGGGAACCATATGGGAACAAGAGGAATGGCATATCTGAAATTTGGCAGAGAACACGTTTTAGACATTGGCTAGTCAAGTCTTAGTTCACTTTCGGTCTTCATTTTTAGTATAGATTAGTTGCTGCTTGTTCAATAATTAAAAACTCGGTCTATTAACCTTTAGGTTGAGGGTTCAAAACTTCAAACCCAAGGGGGCATACATAATTATTTGCTGCTGCTATAAATTTATTTATGTTTTATTACATTATAAAGGTCAGGGGAAAACCATGATCATCTTAAATTTGCTAGACCTAGAGAGATGGGTTGGCCTAGTGGTTGATGGACCATATTATTGGCTAGTATATGTTCTTGATCATCATATTTGGATACATAAAATGTCTTAACAAGTTAGTGCCAAAGTTTACACCTTCAAATCCTTGTCCTAATAATCGATGCAAAAGTCTAGCCGCCTATAAAATATCTAAACATACTTATATTACTTCTCATTCACTTGAGGAAGCTTTAATAACTGTATGGTGCATGAAACAACCTGATGTTATGGAGTGATTTCTAAGTAGAAGTCCTGAATCCTTTTTCTTTCTTTTTTTCTTTTTCAAAAACCCATTTATATGGGTTACTGTTCATGACTCCAACAGTCACCAACATCCTAAACTAAAAACCCGCTAGAACCCTAGCTTTTTCCTTACAATTCTGACATTCATTTAACAATAAAAACCTAAGATACTTGCTCTCCGGAATTTACAGCACCTAATACTTTTCACTTCTAGCAACCTATCACCTTTAAACCCTTCGTTATCAAGAAGCCTAAAATTGATCTTCCATCATCTTAAATTATACATTCCACAACCAAAACCCATAAACAACCAATAGGCTATATACTTTTCCAAAGTTTACCCTTCTCCTCATGATCCTCAAGTTTGACTTTGGTGATCGCACCTAATACAAACTTGGAACATCCTCAATGCTAAATCTTGTGATTACGCTGTAGGAGTATGGGCCTTTTACTGACCCTGTTCTCTTACTGTATAATTGGTGAAATTTGAATTTAAATCGTATTAAACCAAATTTGAGCTATTGGCAACTTTGACCACTCTAAAGGGGGAAAAAATATTAATACAAAAAATTGCACAATATAAATGAAAAAGACAACATTAAGATGCATATATTGACACAAGCATAAAGAAGCTAGTTTTTTTTATTTATTTAACTATCATAAATTTATCATGATGTATCGCGGAAAGGAAGCGCATAGACAAACCTTGCATGTTGTACAAGGTTCACTCCAGACTAGATACCAAAAATACAACTATGTGCCTGTTTGGTGCAGCTTAAAACCTGGCTTTCAGCTTAATTTAAGTTATTTTGATGTGTTTGGTTTAGCTTATAACTTATAACTTATAACTTTTTGGAAGTCAGAAATAAGCTTATTCTTTGAGTGAGGCAGGAGATGCTTAATTTACAAGTCAGAAATCAGTTTATGTTCATAGTTATAAACTATAAGCTGTTTAGGCATAAGTTATAAGCACTTTCCCACAGTTCTACCAAACAGGGCCTATGTCAATGTTGATTCTCAAAAGCCATTTACGAGTCAATTTGACAGCTATAAAACCTCATTAAAACAAGAACATTAGAACAACATGATCTTATGTCACTAGTTCAAATTTGTTCCTATCAAATGATTAATTTGAATGCGTATCTAATTGATATGGACTACATATATATTATTAATAGTATAGATTAGAATCCATAGTTTTATCCATCCAAGTGCTTACAGATAGAGAAATATCTCCCAATTTTTCCCTATTTTAGAGATCAATTAAGAATATATATTCTATAAAGGTATGCAAAATAATGGGAGCTGCTAATACCCCCACCTAATTACGAAACACTCCCCACCCCTTTATTTATTATCACCATTTTACCCTAAACACAAATTTCCCATTTTATTTATTATTTTCATTTTACCCTAACACAAAATTCCCATTTTATCAGCAAATCAAGCCACCTCCCCACCAGCTCCAGCCACCTCTCCAGCCCCTATCCTCCCTTATCTGCCACTCTCTGGCAACCCTCACCACCCCTGCCACTATCTAGCGCCGACCGCCACTCCCCAACCCTTCTACAACCCTCCCTCCCTCCACCTGCACCGCGACCCCCCACCACCACGATGCCCCACCTTCTCTCTCTCTCTCTCACAATCACAAAGGGGTGAAAGCAGTTAAGGTTTCACAAAGGTGGCGGCGGCAGGCTAGGGATGGCCAATGTTATGATATATATGATCAATATCAAACTTCAGGACCTGAGCAAACAATCATGCACACAACGAATCTAGAACTGAGAAGTAAAATAACAGAAAATCAAACTCGCCAAAGCAACACAAGAGATTTACGTGATTCACCCAAATCTCAAGTTACGTCCACGAAGTCAACAAGGATCTCTCACACTCAATCTCTTGACAATGATCTATCTCTAACTCTCACTGTTGTTTCTCTTATTGAGATCACAAAATTTATGAATGAATAAAAAATATAGAGCTACATGGGTGTATTATTTATAGGCTAGCCTCAAACCCAAACATAAATTAATAAGGAAAACAAAACCTAAACTAACATGGAAAAACTTAACCGATAAGGAAATAGTTTAGAATCCAAATCTAACCAAACACTAAGGGTCTGTTTGGAATGATTTCCAAACTATATTTCTACCCCCATATTCCAACATGATGTTTGGATACCACACTCAAATCACATTTCCACAACATTTACAAAACTCTGTCTGAGGTGCGATTTTCAAATTTTTTTTTTTTCAAATTTAGCCTAACTGGTCGTCCGGCTGGTTGACCGGAACAGTGCAAATTTTTTTTTTTTTTTTGCAATTGACATATGTTAATTTTTATATATTTGAAAAAAATATTTTCCAAATTGTTAAATTTTTTTTATGTGCTTTAATAGAATTTTGAGTTGTATGTATGGTTATGAGTTGTAAGTTTTTGTATCAAATATCATATGTCACACCAGAAATTCCCCACTCTTTTCAAAACTCTTTCACCAAACAAATTTTCCACACTCAAATCATAATTCCAAAATTCACAAACTCAAAATACAACTCATACTCTCATATCATATTTACAAAACTCTACCAAACGCAACCTAATTTTCTTATTTCATTTTCCTAATCTGATTAGGTTTAGTCTTGTTTCAGGCCCACCAATAACAATCTCCCACTTGGAGACTAATCAAGACATGAACAATCTTCACCCATAACTCTACAAAACACTGCAATGACTCGAACCATCAATCTCACATGCCAATGCCAACTGAAGTTGCTTATAGCTTCAGCTTGTCAACTGTAACCACCTTATGTTTTGTTTCAGGCTCCACCAACAACAATCCCCTATTTGGAGACTAATCAAGACATTAACAATCTTTACGCATAACTCTACAAAACACCGCAATGACTCAAACCATCAACCTCACGTGCCAATGCCAATTGAAGTTGCACATAGCTTCAGCTTCTCAACTGTAACCACCGTGGTTAACATATACGCGGGATTTTCACTTGTGTGGATGTTCTTCAAGCTGAACTTGCCATCCTCCAAGAATGAATGAACAAAATGGTACTTTATATCAATCTTCGCAAGATGTATTGCACTTTGACTGTCATTGTACAACTTGCAATCATCGAACTTCTTCCATGATTCACCTAAGAAATTTTGTAACCATACCATCTCTTTGCAAACATACTCTGCTTTTGTGGTTGAGATAGCCAGAATCTTCTGCAACTGAGAGACCCAACTAATTGCAGCACTACCAAGAGTAAACACATACCCTATTGTGCTCTTCCTACTATCAATGTCAACAGCTAAATCAGAATTAATATATCCAAGCAAGTTGATCTTTGTGCTGCCCTACCAAAGAGCCATATCACTCGTACCTCTGAGATACCTAAATACCCACTTGGCAGCTTCCCTATGCACTTTTCCAGGATTGTTCATGAATCTGCTAACAACTCTCACTGCATAGGCAATGTCTGGTCTCAAACAGACCATGGCACACATCAAGCTACCAACAACTGAAGCATATGGTGCCTTCGCCATGTATTTTTGCTCTTCAAACTAAAGTGGCTTGCTAATGGAGTGCCTACAAGCTTTGCACACTCCATGTTGAATTTATTGAGTACTTTTTCAATGTAGCTTCATTTTATTGTTCCTCTTGTCCCTGCTAATTTGCATCCCTAAGATTTGTTTTGCCGCACCGAAATCTTTCATTGTAAACTGTTTGGACAACTCCTTGAGAGTTAAAATCTCATCGATGCTTGAACCTGCAACAAGCATATCATCTACATACAAGAGAAGTATTAAATATTAAGTGTCAAGCTTTTTGTAATAATGACAATGATCACCATGGCACCAATGGAAGCCACACTTTCCATGAAGCTATCAAATTTTATGTACCATTGTCTAGGCGCGCTTGTTTTAGCCCATACAAACTCTTCTTCAATTTACATACTAGATTTTCTTTCCTAGCCACATCATAGCCCTGTAGTTGATGCATGTAGATATCCTCTTCTAAATCACCATGAAGGAATGCAGTTTTAACATCTAACTGCTCTAGATGTAGATCTTCAACCGCAACAATGCTAAATACGGTACAAATTGTAGAAATTTTTACCACGGGAGAGAAAATCTCGATATTATCGTACTTGATTTTTGTTGGAAACCTTTCACCACCATCTTGGTCTTGTATAGCTTGGTGCCATCAGGTTCTTCATTGTACTAATTCCCAAGTCTAATTCGCTTGTCTCAACCTATAAAGCTTCCTCCTAACATTTTGGTTCACCATTATCAGTTAACAATAGATAATGCAAGGAA